CATTGTTACAACAGTAAGTTCTAGAAACTTGCTGTTCAGTCACAAAGAGAAGAGTCAATAAGGATTTATTTGTATGAGTTTAAATCTCAATCTTTATTTATTTACTTATCTGGCTATACTGCCCCTCATGTGAGATCTTAGTTCCCCGACCAGGGATCAAACTCATCACCCCTTACAGTAGAAGCATGCAGTCTTAAACAGTGGACCACCAAGGAAGCCCTAGTCTCATTTTTTAATTTTGAAGAAGACAACCTAACTTCTCTAGGATCTGGAAGCTACCAGGGAGCATATGATTTTTACCTCTGCTTTTACATTGATGATGTGTTTCTGGACATGTGGGCATGAGTGCATCAACTATGGTCACTTTGGTAAGAAATTCTGTTTTTGACATGCTCTTATGTACAGGTTTGATGAAGTCCCCAAAGCTGCTACTGCAATTTTCATCTGCTCCTGTGGGTGCACAGATGCGGAGTGTGATGCCTATTCTGCCTTTTCCCTATCTGTGCTTTTTCCTAGGTCTCCACCATGGCTTCAGTTGTGGAAGGAACAGCTTGAGCCACAAACCTAAGGTCAGCACAGCAGATAGCACCATGGAGCTCACATAAGCTCTCCACTGCACCTTGCCCCTCAGATAACCTCAAGAGTTGGCTTGCTTCCTTGACAAGGATCCAACTGCCCAGAACAGAAAGTTTCCCTTTCCCCTGACACAGCCTTTGCCTTTCCAAGCTCCTTAATTTGCTCCTTTCAAAGGAAAGATGGAGAGATGATGTACTCTCACAAGAGATTTTTTCTGCCATTTTGCTTTAAAATGGAAAATGTGTGTGTGGGTGTGCGCATGTTTGTATGCTGGAGGAATTATGGCCTGGCGCTGGTCCTGCTAGTAACTAGCTGCATGGGGTTGGGCAGGTCACCAGCTCTGGTTCTAATTTCTACACTCAAATACAGAGCATCAGATCAGCTGACACTACTCCCAACATTTTAAGATTCTATGTACTACCACAAGTGTATCCTTAAAAGATAACTTGCTGGGCTTCAATGTCACCCTGCAGTGTAAGAGTCTATGCACAAGGCCCTCTTCTAAACACCTTCCTCTGGGCTTAACATTTAGCACAACAAAACCTTCTTACAGCAAATTCAACCTAAAGGGATTGAGGTTATTTATGCACAGAAAAATGAAGTCTCCAGCAGATATGCTCCTTTTAGTCTTTCTAATTAGATATTGGCTTGGCCAAAAAGTTTATTCAGATTTTTTCCCATAAGATCTGATGGAAAAACCTGGGGGAGCTTTTTGGCCAATCCAATACCTCATTAACTGCTTTGATAAGAGTAACTAAATGTGAAAGCACATAGTGGAAATGAAATGCTAGTATTCTTCGTTTCAAATTCCTGACTTGTTTCTCATTGAGAGAAGTATATAAAAACATTTCGTTCTTCCCAAAATGATTTGAATGTTTCCATTTTTAATGTGTTAATATCACACACCGCCCCCCCACCCATACACCAAGATAAATAGCTTCTCTCTGATCTATTTTCACATATTGAAATGGGGAAAGTCAAGTGTGATGCTTCTTAATCAACAGTGACAGTATTCTTTGTGGGGAAGAGTATTTCAGAAATTTGGGGAAATAAAGTTTGAAAAGTCATATCTAGACGTCTATACAAAAAAAAAAAAAAATCTTGGCACTTCCCTGGTGGTCCAGCGGGTAAGACTCTGCACTCGTAATACAGGGGGCCCAGGTTTGAGCCCTGGTTCTGGGAACTAGATCCCACATGCTGCAACTAAAGACCCTGAGTGCTGCAGTGACAACTGAAGATCCCACATGCTGCAACTAAGACCTGGCACAGTCAAATAAATAGATATTAAAAAAATTTTTTTTTAACTGTTTGGATAAAACAAATTACATCCATCTAAGCTCGAGAAAATAGCCAGGGAGGATAAGCAGAACATGTGGTAATACTTGCAGAATACTTGCAGTTGCTCACCTGTTTCCTCCTCCTTCTTTAGTAAAAGTGCTCCCCCCGCCCCTGCCTTTCCTCAGCCTGGCAGCATCCCCAGGCAGTGATTCATAACTGGTTCGATTCTATCCTGACAACTTCTTCCCAGCTTCTTTTGCAGTGAGAGTGGCCAGGGAGCCATGGCCGCTGGGGTCACTGTTGGGTGATTTGGGGAGCCCTATGGCTGTCTGCCTCCTGTACCCAGTTCCTTCCTTGAGAGTTGACACTGTGCTGGGCGCTTCTGGGGGCCTTCCTGTGACCTCCCGATGATAGCTCCACAGGCCAAGGATGAAAGACTGTGGCTTTTCTATGACACTTTCAATTTGTTGAATTTCCCAAAAACAAGTCTTAAATATGTAATAGTTAGGACTTGAAAGTTGTTTAAAGTTTATCTGAAATTCAAATTTAACCGTGTGCCCTCTAATTGTGTTTTATTTTTCCCCCTTAAATCTGACAACTCTATGTAAAAACCCTAGACTACACGTCTTGAACTTTTGTTATGTAAAAAGGATTACGTCAGTAAGTTATATTAGTCAAGTTAACATACTGCTTGCATGTGAACTCATTCCTAGTATCGTAATAATTTATAAAAAGTACCCAGCATTTATTATGTTCACTCTGTGCTAGACACTGTGCTAGTTAACAGCGGGTACTTGTAATTGAGTCACAGAGGTGGGTCCTGCCTTCAAGGAGCTTGCAGTCTAGCTGGAGAGACCGCTACGGAATGAGTGATTCTGTAAGTGGCAGAGTAATTACAACTGTTCTCAGCGCTTTGAGGGAAAAGTAGAGAACCTTGAGAGCACCTATGAGGGTGGGTACGGAGAAGGGAAATCCTCGAGAAGTGGCATCGCAAGAGTGAGCTGAAGGAGGAGCAGGAGTTAGCAGACTAGTTGGAGGGCGGGTTGCGGAAGTTTGCTCTAAGCCTCAGGAGCAGTAGTGAGGCTGCGGTGACATGGGAAGAGTCCTGGTGAGTTTGAGGAGGGGAGCTTCCAGTGGCTGAGCAGCAGAGAGTTGAGTGATGGGAAATGCAGGCAGAGAGGCACTTAGAACGTGGATCATGGGTGCCTTGGGGGCCATATTAAGGATTTCAAAACTTATCTTTACTCTCTACTATACCTACACTATGTACTGTTGGTATCCTCACCTTACAAAGAGGAAATAAAGACTTTAATGTGTTTGATCAAAAACATAAAAAGTTATTAAGTGAATGAACTGTAATTTTAGCCCAGATTTCTTTTTTTTTTTTTAATAGTGTATGTGAGCAAAAAAACCCCCTAATCATTACTGAGTGCAAGCTAGTTACAAACTTCTAAGTAATGAGAGCTGATCAGATGAGTCTATAGAGATTGTTTAAAGTTAATTTAAGAATATATTTTATATTTATGTAAAAACTGTGAATGTGAGAAATCTATTATTAATAAATAACAAGTTGATCAGTAATTTAAATTCCAGCATTGAATGGGGCATCAATAAATTACACAATTATACAGATCACCTATCTGTGCTTTCCAATGCAAGTTGTCCTGTACTGCATACCACTCAAGTCACTGTGGCTTACTTATGGAATTTTAGACAGTGGTTTGGCAAAAACAAAATAAAACATACACACAAAAATCCTTATTTGTTAAGTGACACAAATGATTCAGCAGTTTTAGATACATATGAGAAACAATTACAGCAGTAACAAGGACAAAACACATACAAAAAGATACTGTTGCAAATTGTTGATTTATTCAATATGATCGCTACTCCTGGTAATCCCATTATTTGCAGGAGGTGGGCATCCGGTATGGGATGGTAACAAATATTTTTTAAAAATTAAAAATAGAAAAATATAAAGAGCATACTGTATGTGAGGTAAATGTTATATGATACTTGATATGATACATGCAACAAATATAGACACATTTGCATACATATATAGACTCATCCACACAAACACACACATCAGTAGATTACATATATACTGGATTGTGATCTACATCTTATTTTTTACTTTGGGTCCCATTCATAGAAGTTTGAAAATCATTGGTCTAGTGAAAATGACTCAGTCTCTGTGAGCTATGCTGTATCTGTGCACTTCTTGGTGTGAGAAAAGCATTAGGGTAAATTTAGGTCCATTATCATGGATAGCCACTCACTGTTCCCTGTGTTAAGGAAATCATGTGTGACAGAGCAAACAAACAAAACAACACACTGTCACTGTACCAGAGTGCACAGCGTATCTTGGTTATGGTGCTTGAATAGATTCCTTTGAATTTTCCAGTTCACTCCAGGGAAGTTTCAGTCCATTCCAACTTTATGCTGTCACTCGCACACCTTGGGAATAATTACAAAAAGAAAAGAGATTAATGAGGAATTCCAATTGTCATTTTATTAAATCTTCACACTAACATCAAGGTGTGTTAAGATTACAGATTCTGGGACCAGAAATGCTGGTTTTCTGTAAAGAACTAAATTGAGTCCAAATCTCATTGTTTTAATCCTTGTGCTAAATTTAAGCCTATTTTCAGATATCCAGTATTATTTGCAAATCGGTATAATGATCCTTGACTTCAAAGAATGAAATAATTTGACAACTAGAAGAATATCACAAAAGGTGGCTGATACAGTAATATTCTTGTTTTGGAATGATATCCTTGGTTTGAGGAAAGAAGTATTCTTATTTTTTTTAAAAAGTAAGGATGCCGCGCTGAATATTTAGTGACTTTGGCTTAGAAAGTCAATGATCAGCCTGCCGCATTCTTATCACACATCTCATGCTAGAAAAGCACACATTTTTTTGTAATCTTTGAAGCATGCAAAATATAAAAATGATTATGTACTGCATACCACTCAAGTCACTGTGGCTTACTTATGGAATTTTAGACAGTGGTTTGGCAAAAACAAAATAAAACATACACACAAAAATCCTTATTTGTTAAGTGACACAAATGATTCAGCAGTTTTAGATACATATGAGAAACAATTACAGCAGTAACAAGGACAAAACACATACAAAAAGATACTGTTGCAAATTGTTGATTTATTCAATATGATCGCTACTCCTGGTAATCCCATTATTTGCAGGAGGTGGGCATCCGGTATGGGATGGTAACAAATATTTTTTAAAAATTAAAAATAGAAAAATATAAAGAGCATACTGTATGTGAGGTAAATGTTATATGATACTTGATATGATACATGCAACAAATATAGACACATTTGCATACATATATAGACTCATCCACACAAACACACACATCAGTAGATTACATATATACTGGATTGTGATCTACATCTTATTTTTTACTTTGGGTCCCATTCATAGAAGTTTGAAAATCATTGGTCTAGTGAAAATGACTCAGTCTCTGTGAGCTATGCTGTATCTGTGCACTTCTTGGTGTGAGAAAAGCATTAGGGTAAATTTAGGTCCATTATCATGGATAGCCACTCACTGTTCCCTGTGTTAAGGAAATCATGTGTGACAGAGCAAACAAACAAAACAACACACTGTCACTGTACCAGAGTGCACAGCGTATCTTGGTTATGGTGCTTGAATAGATTCCTTTGAATTTTCCAGTTCACTCCAGGGAAGTTTCAGTCCATTCCAACTTTATGCTGTCACTCGCACACCTTGGGAATAATTACAAAAAGAAAAGAGATTAATGAGGAATTCCAATTGTCATTTTATTAAATCTTCACACTAACATCAAGGTGTGTTAAGATTACAGATTCTGGGACCAGAAATGCTGGTTTTCTGTAAAGAACTAAATTGAGTCCAAATCTCATTGTTTTAATCCTTGTGCTAAATTTAAGCCTATTTTCAGATATCCAGTATTATTTGCAAATCGGTATAATGATCCTTGACTTCAAAGAATGAAATAATTTGACAACTAGAAGAATATCACAAAAGGTGGCTGATACAGTAATATTCTTGTTTTGGAATGATATCCTTGGTTTGAGGAAAGAAGTATTCTTATTTTTTTTTAAAAAGTAAGGATGCTGCGCTGAATATTTAGTGACTTTGGCTTAGAAAGTCAATGATCAGCCTGCCGCATTCTTATCACACATCTCATGCTAGAAAAGCACACATTTTTTTGTAATCTTTGAAGCATGCAAAATATAAAAATGATTATACTCTTTGACCCAGCAAGTGCTACTTCCAAAAATTTTAAATATCATTCAAGAAGAAGAAAACCAGCAACACACACACACATTTTACAGTATGTTATTTGCCAATGTAAAAATCTTTTTAACAACACTAAATATCTAACAGTAGGAAATGGTTCAATAATCTTATGGCACTTATACTACTATTACTTTATAATTGGAAATTATATTTTAAATTCAACATAAAAAAATATCCCCCCAAATTCATTTTATTAAATTTTTATTTTGCAATTTTTTATCCCTCTGATTTGACATCTTTCTTCTGCAGGAAGATGTCAATGTCAGGTCTTATAATTTACTTTTAATGAGCAAAACAGAACTCAACCTCGAATCCCTTAACTGGGAGAGCTATTTAGTTTTATAGTTTCATTATATAATGGACTCTACAAAGCTTATTCAACGTTAAATACTAATTTAAAAACAAAAGTAAACATGGCAATTAACCATGTAAGCCATGTAACCATGTAAGAGAGAGATTTAAATTCAATCTTTGTTTCTATTTCATTATTAATGCTTTATTACAATTATGATTCTAAATGTTTAGAATAGAAAATTAGTTTATGAGATACTATAAGAAGCCTGAGGTATATTCAACGGAAACATGTGAAGCCCTTCAGAACAGCCTGGTTTAACCTCACTGAGGGTTAAACCAGGCTATGCTAAGGATCTCTCCAGGCTAGCTTTGCCAGGGCACTGTGATTGGAAGAACTGGGAAAGGTGATGGGTTACTATAAATAACGCAGTAACTTATTTATACAACTGGAAAAAAAAAAGAAAAAAACGAATATAAATCTTGGAGGCAGGAAAAGCTGATATTCCTTGGATTTTATGTCTCTTACAACATTTCTATTCTTTTTTTCTTTTTAAACTTTATCCAATATATCAAATGCAGGCAAGATAGTCTTACGAAGGAATACTTCCTTACAAACCTCTAGGATGTAGGTAAGGAAAGAGGAGGGTGTCATAGACATAGAAATGTACTTTCCTGTGGGTTTTCAGCCCCCGTCAGAACATGCCAGCTTTTCTTGGGTCTTGGACCAGATGGCAAAAGCTGGCATTCAGTATGCTATCTGCCTGAGCTACATGATCAAGGCTCGTTCATTTTTCTCAGCAGATACAGCATAAGGCCAATCGTCAGCACGTGACTTGGTCACTAAAGGACAACTGGACCCAAGCCTAGCCATTATTGAGAGAATGGAAAGGTACAGGGGTTCAACCCCTGTAAGTATTGACATCCTGTAAGTACCCTATCAGGATCAGCAAGGGAGCCAGCAGCTCTCAGGGAAGTGGCTCTGGCTCAGGTGCTATCATTTACAAAGGCTGAGCCGCTCCCTTCACTCTGCATGCTCTGTATCCACTGATGCTGGGGCCTGAGCTTCGTGATGGGGGGGCATGCCTTTCATCAGAGCAACAGATGGCAGGGGTGAGCAGGCATACCTGGCAAGGATTTTAAGTTCCACTTACAGGAAGAAATTTTAGTATGGTCCTGACATTTCTTTAAATAGGTTCATGCCTACAGGAAGGGCTGATTCTGAAACTGGGAGTGTGTTAGGATCAATGAGCTGCCTGGCTGGGCTCAAACGTCTAGTCAGTTAGGAATTTACTGAGGACACAGGAAATCTAATTCTTTCTGAGAGATGATGACATTTGCACCAGGGGAATTGCTTCTCACCAAAAGAGCATGTAATATTCTTCACTGCCAAAGTGACTCATACTGTCTTCTCCTGAGCCAGCAGATGACTGCATTTTTATGTTAACCATGAAAAGTGTTAGCTCAAACACTGCCAGTGAAAGATCTAGATCTATAGTTTTGTTTTCCCAGCACACTTTGTCATCCTTCTTCTGGTGTTTACCTCCTACTCTGCCTCCCCTTTGGGGGATTTCTCCCCTTAAATCAGGATGCCTTTCCTGAGCTACTCAATTACAATATGAGTACATGATCCACTTCTAGCCAACCAAAGTAAGCCATATCCCAGGCATAGTGATTGGTTTAGCAAAAGTCATGTGACCCAAGCAGGACCAATCAAAATGTTTCCTGGGACTTTTCAGCTGGGATAATACGGAAAATTGGTTTAAAAACGTTTAAAATAAGGACTTTTAAACATATGCAAAACTAGTGAGAATAACATATAGATCCTTCTGTACCCAATACACGGCTTTGTTTATCAACTCATAGACAATATTGAAAAAGGATAAAACTGTCTTTTTACTGGGGCTATTGGATTTAGGAGGATGGTGTTGCCAAAATACTTCATGTCTGTTAGTGGAGAGAGACTGACCTCAAAATACCTTCAAACAGAAAATGAGAAATTGAGGCAGAACCATGAGGACGCCATTGGCGCTCCTTAACTCAGTTGAGCCTGAAGCCACTGCCACTCCTGTACTTTCTTTCTGTTTAAGCCAGATTTAGGAGGATTTCTGTCACTTGCAAAATGTATTGTCTTATTGTCTGACATGAAAACCTTAAAGAAATATTCAATAAGTTATTTTTAAAATCTTGTGTTTATTTTGGGAAATAAGTATTTATGAAAAATCTTTGAGGAATAAAGGAGAAAGAGAACTCTATGCCTATTAAAACAAGATCATCAGCATTTAATTTCACTCAATTCAAAGAGTAATTTCAGTCCTATTGAAATAATAGCCAGCCATTAAAAATTTTGAATTAAATAACAGAAATATCATTAAGAGAGAGAACAAAGGGTGAATATTTTCACCCTCAAAAGAAGTCAAAAAGTAATCAAGTCCCTAGACCCATTCAGAGTCTCTGATTCTGAACTGTCTTCAAAGCAATGAATGAATGGATATGATCACTCTTACATTAGCATTCTGCTCTACCATTCTTGGGGCTTCCTTGGTGGCTCAGTGGTGAAGAACCCGCCTGCCTATGCAGGAGACCTAGGTTCAATCCCTGGGTCAGGAAGATCCCCAGGAGAAGGAAATGGCAACCCACTCCAATATTCTTGCTTGGGAAATCCCATGGACAAAGGAGTCTGGTGGGCTGCAGTCCATGGGGTCACGAAAGAGTCAGACATGACTTGGTGACTAAAACAACACCACCACCACCACTCATGGGTATGTAATGAAATATTTTACCTGGTTGCTCCTTCACAATCCACTTTGATTAGACAATACTAACCCTTTTGCTTTGCTAGTTCTTGTGTTAGATCTTCATATTTGAAAAAGGATAAAACTGTCTTTTTACTGGGGCTATTGGATTTAGGAGGATGGTGTTGCCAAAATACTTCATGTCTGTTAGTGGAGAGAGACTGACCTCAAAATACCTTCAAACAGAAAATGAGAAATTGAGGCAGAACCATGAGGACGCCATTGGCGCTCCTTAACTCAGTTGAGCCTGAAGCCACTGCCACTCCTGTACTTTCTTTCTGTTTAAGCCAGATTTAGGAGGATTTCTGTCACTTGCAAAATGTATTGTCTTATTGTCTGACATGAAAACCTTAAAGAAATATTCAATAAGTTATTTTTAAAATCTTGTGTTTATTTTGGGAAATAAGTATTTATGAAAAATCTTTGAGGAATAAAGGAGAAAGAGAACTCTATGCCTATTAAAACAAGATCATCAGCATTTAATTTCACTCAATTCAAAGAGTAATTTCAGTCCTATTGAAATAATAGCCAGCCATTAAAAATTTTGAATTAAATAACAGAAATATCATTAAGAGAGAGAACAAAGGGTGAATATTTTCACCCTCAAAAGAAGTCAAAAAGTAATCAAGTCCCTAGACCCATTCAGAGTCTCTGATTCTGAACTGTCTTCAAAGCAATGAATGAATGGATATGATCACTCTTACATTAGCATTCTGCTCTACCATTCTTGGGGCTTCCTTGGTGGCTCAGTGGTGAAGAACCCGCCTGCCTATGCAGGAGACCTAGGTTCAATCCCTGGGTCAGGAAGATCCCCAGGAGAAGGAAATGGCAACCCACTCCAATATTCTTGCTTGGGAAATCCCATGGACAAAGGAGTCTGGTGGGCTGCAGTCCATGGGGTCACGAAAGAGTCAGACATGACTTGGTGACTAAAACAACACCACCACCACCACTCATGGGTATGTAATGAAATATTTTACCTGGTTGCTCCTTCACAATTCACTTTGATTAGACAATACTAACCCTTTTGCTTTGCTAGTTCTTGTGTTAGATCTTCATATACTTGTGAAAAGAGGTCTTCCTCAGATTTTGTTCCATCTAGATAAACTGAGAAGGGGAAAAAAGAATAGTTCAAATGCTAACAGGCTTATAATTAATATGGGATGCTTACTCTGGCATTTGGCGTCTCTTGAGGGCACCATAAGTTTAAAGAACCCAAGAACGTAATTTTAAAAGAAATTAATAGCCATTAAAAAGAAAAATATAAAGCTGGATACAATAGGCAAGAGATTTGGGTTATTACAGGGAAATTCAAACTAGCTGATGTGAAAATTATAAAGACAAAAAAGACACAGACTTAAGTGACATTGTGTATACGCCACTTTAGGAGCACCAAATAGGTGCTTTCTCAAAACAATCATTTAAGGGAATAGTTCTCGAACTTCTTTATCAGGATAACCTGTGAAGCTTCTTAAACCATGCCGTGTGTGTGTGTGTGTGTGTGTGTGTGTGTGTCTGTCTGTCTGTTTTGTGCGTGTGTGATTTCTGTCACGTGTGTGCTGAATCTGCATTCTCCAGGCCATGAGATATATATATATATATATATATATATTTTTTTTTTTTTTTTAAATTGCCATAGTCAGTTTGGTATAAGAAGTAGGTTATAAGAAAATTTTGTAGGTTAAAGGAAGGAAAGAGTCTTCTAGTCAGAATATTGCAGAGGTAGGGGCAGGTAGGAGAGAACTTTGACTGTTAAGAAAAAGACGCTCTGGAAAGTTTGGAAAGACTAGAATGTGGGGAGGCACGAACAGTATAGAAATGAGACTTTAGATAAAGCAAGGCTCTGCCTTAGCCTTTGGAGACCTTGAGATCCTTCCTGGCTGTTTAGATTTTATCCCAAAGGGCTGGAGACTCTCTGGAAGCATTTAAGCAAGGTAGGAGCATGAGATGGTGGAGGTGGGGGGACAGGCAGTAGTAAGAAGAAGACATCTCTGCAACCAATGGTCCAGGTTGGAAATAGTGTGACCAAAAATGTCACGAGAGGCCCTGGGGATGCGGAAGAGGGGTTGGACTGGACTGAAGAAGGGATCATAAGAGCCTCCAGACTACGGGCCGGTCCCGTGTGCTGTCTGTATTTACCAAAGAGGCCATGACGTCTCTCACGGTAGGGGCAACTCCCTTTATTCTGAGAAGATGTGTCTGCTCTGGTTGCTCTGCCCTCCAGAAGCCTTCTGTCTCCAGCCTCCTGAATCTTCTCCATGTTGTGCTCTGTATCCCAAGGATCTGTTCTCAGTCCAGCCCCATAGATCCAGGTATTTATATCTAAATCACTGCTTTAAGTCCCGTAGGGATCTCAACTTCATTACTGGCATGCAGAACAGATGTGCATTCCTCCTTGCAAATCCGTGAGTCCTTCATTTCTTCCTGTTCTCCGAAATAGTTCAGTTGCTCAGTTGTGTCCAACTCTTTGCGACTGCATGAATCGTAGCATGCCAGGCCTCCCTGTCCATCACCAACTCCCGGAGTGTACTCAAATTCATGCCCATTGAGTTGGTGATGCCATGCAGCCATCTCATCCTCTGTCGTCCCCTTCTCCTCCTGCCCCTAATCCCTTCCAGCATCTGGGTCTTTTCCAATGAGTCAACTCTTTGCATGAGGTAGGCAAAGTATTGGAGTTTCAGCTTCAGCATCAGTCCATCCAAGGAACACCCAGGAATGAACACCCTAAAGAGGATGGACTGGTTGGATCTCCTTGCAGTCCAAGGGACTCTCAAGAGTCTTCTCCAACACCACAGTTCAAAAGCATCAATTTTTCGGCGCTCAGCTTTCNGGTTGGTCATAACTTTCCTTCCAAGGAGTAAGCGTCTTTTAATTTCATGGCTGCAATCACCATCTGCAGTGATTTTGGAGCCCCCCAAAATAAAGTCTGACACTGTTTCCACTGTCTCCCCATCTATTTCCCATGAGGTGATGGGACCAGATGCCATGATCTTAGTTTTCCGAATGTGAAGCTTTAAGCCAACTTTTTCACTCCCCCCTTTCACCTTCTCCGAAATAACACCTGACAATTCCTGAGCTGTTGTCCTTGACACCTCAACTACCTGCACCCTCCGTATCTGTTCTATCGTTCAGCTCCTCTGAATACATATGTCCCATATCACACCCTACACATCTACCCTTCACAAAGCCACAAGGATCTGACTAAACAAAAATTTTACATCTACCATATCCTTGTAATAAACCTCTCTGCAGAGGCTTCCCACTTCCCTTAGGACAATGACCTTTGGCCTTGTAAGGTCTGTACCCTTCCTGTACCACCACCATCACCCGTTGCTTTGTCTTTCTCTACCACAACCCTCTAGCCAGTGACCCCTGGCCTTTCCACACACCATACTCACTGTCTGGGTGGTATCCCACCCCCACCTTTGCCCAGTTAAATCTATCACAAAGTGGTTCAAATGTGGCTTCCTCAAGGAAGCCTTCCCTGGTTGCTGAGAGCGGACAGTGCCCCTGAAGCTCAGTGTCACAGTGCTCAGCATAGTTAGAAAGGACAGCTTGTGCAGCAAGTGTGTTTAACGTCTGTTTCCCTGATAGAATGTTGGTTCATAAGACTGGAGACCAAGTCTGTCTTATTTCCCTTGATAACACCAGGGCAGTGCCTTGTTCGGGGAATGCATTCAATCAGTATTTGTTGAATGAATTGACGATTTAGAAGTTGCTACACTTTGACAAGAGTCAGAGAGAGAAAAACAGAAGCCAGGAGAGCCAATGAGGAAAACGAGGGTTCTGGCTTACAGTGTCCTTTTACAATCTAACACATGAGAAAAATGCCTTCTAAAATCTTGTGTACTCTTCTGTACTTTGAGGCAATGACAGGTCTTCCTTGAAGGGAAAAAGACACTCACCAATTTCCCAGGAGACATTCTCCATTTCTTTTTTGTGCTTTAGGTACATGGGCCACACGTGGCCATCAAAGTACCCTGGGACGTCTGGAGGCTTGTAGACCCTTGTACTGTCAAAATATGTAGGAAACTTTATGCTGACAGATGCTGACAGAAACACAAAACTGATAAAGTAAAATAATGGTCAGAACAATGGGGAAATCACTCAAGAGATTGAGAAGGATTAAGACCATACATTTTAGGCTCAATGTCAGTTACAGAGACAACACACGATAGACGTGGTCCTCTGATCTAAAAATGAACTTTGTAACTCACTGACTACCATTCCTAATTATCTTTCCCCCCTCAAGTGATTTATAAAAGAATTGACAATATAAATAATGATAGCAGTATTGTTATGTTGTAGTAAGCTTTAAACTAATCAGTGTCCTCAATGGCTGTAGCAGAATACAGGCGAATTAATTTAAAATCTTAATCAAAATGAAATTGCTCCATATGGAGATTTAGGAAGGATGAGCCAAATAGCTTGTATTAATACAAGAGTCTTTCTTAGAAAAAGTAATTTGCATTACTGCATGTCGGTGGCCATTTATGGAAAAAGGTCTTGTTCTCTGTGAAGAGTTCAGGCTTCCCTTGCTTGAAGAATATACACATATACACATATACACATTGTTCAATAATGCTGTTTCCTTGTTTTTCTTAAAGTTTGTCTTTTGAATTAAAATCCACAAAGGCATTTTCAAAACTTACCTCCTCCTCCGCTTACACTCTTCATACGGAATTGTCAGAAAATAGCTTCTATTCCATATAGTGTCAAGGGGCCTAAAATAACAGCATATTTAGTGCATATTTAGTTTTTCCCCCATTCATTCAGAGTCATTAATAGAATGGGGAATGCTTACTTATAATGGAAGAGAAGGAAACCTTCAATAATTAAGATGGGAATTTCCTCAGTGCTTTCCTCATGTGTTGATACCAGAGAGTGTGGTGGGTTTTCCATCCAGCAGGAAATGGTGGACATCATTTCCTCCATGTTAAGCGCTTCGAGCACTTCAAACAAGCAGACACAAATATGAAATAAATACAACAAAGGTTTTACGCTGTGGCTTTTTATGATGAGGATATCCAGTGACCTATAAACATCTAACATCGATAAGGTGGTATGTTTGATATATTTTCATTCTGGAAAAATTTAAACACATACAAAAGTAGAGCATAGAGTGCAATGAACTCCCATGTCCCCACTTACCAACTTTGACAATCATAAACTCATTGCTTTATTTGTAACTTCTACTCCCCCTTGACTATATAATGTGTAACATTTCTGGATGACAAAATATTTATAAAATAGTTAGAAAGACAGTGACACACTGGGGAAATTACCTGCAGTATACTTGGCAAAGAATGGGTATCTTTAATATATAAAGAGCTCTTACAGATAAATAAGAGGTAAATCATTAAAATAATTTACAAAGGATACAAATACATAATACTCAAAACTTTAAAATGTGCATACTCAGAGCTTACAGTTTTTAATTCTAGAAAAGCACCCTATAACAGAGATTATCAAAGTGTGGTACTGCATCTGAGAACTTATCTGAAATGCAAATTCTCACTTTTACCTCAGAACAACTGAATTGAGCCATCTGTGTGTAGAGATATTTTAGTGGAAGGTTTTAAAATTATGAATTAATCCCTTTAATAGATATAGAGCTATTAAGGTTTTCTCTTTGTTCTGGTATTTGTTTTGATTAAGCTGCATTTGGTAAGATGGCTAATTTCATTTAAGTTTTCAATTTGCATAAAATTGTTCACAATATCCTCATCTTTTTGATATTTGTGGTATTTGTAGTGATATTGACTTTTTCTGTTTTTCTCTATTTTTTTCTTGATTAGTTTTGATTAACTTTGAGGATCACTCAGATTCATCAATCTGTAAGTTTACATCTTAGGCCAAATTTGAGATGTCTTAGACCATTCCCTTCTCCAGTGGACCACATTCTGTCAGACCTCTCCACCATGACCTGGCCATCTTGGGTGGCCTCACAAAGCATGGTTTAGTTTCATTGAGTTAGACAAGGCTGTGGTCGGTGTGATCAGATTGGCTAGTTGTCTGTGATTGTAGTTTCAGTCTGTCTGCCCTCTGATCCACTCTCTCAGTGCCTACCATCTTACTACTGGATATCAGTAGAGAAATAACTCCAGAAAGAATGAAGGGATGGAGCCAAAGCAAAAACAACTCCCATTTGTGAATGGGACTGGTGATGGAAGCAGGGTTC